TTTTTTTTTTTTTTTTTTTTTTTTAAGATTGAGTTGGGTTCAAATTTACTTTCTTAATATGTTGTTCAAAATTTCAGAGTTTGACTGCTGTGACAACTATGGAAAATGTTTGAATCCTCGAAGTTTTGAGTGTGCTTATTGTTAGTAATTGACTATTTGATGAATGAGTCGACTCTGTCACTTTGTCCTGTCCAATTTTCAATCTTGAATCTAGGTAAATGGCTGTTTGTAATAGATAAAAATAGGAGGACTGATATTTTAGGGGCCAAAATTAGAAAACCATTATAATGGTTATGAGTTGTAATCAAATAAGAGTGGAAAAGGATCAAAACAAGTGAGTATGGGTTATATAAGACCCTTTGTGTATGTCATTGATTCTCATGAATAGAATTGTGATTTTCTTTGTTCCTCTTCAACCTTCATTGTTGAGAGTGAGTGAGTGTTGTTTGGAGCATTGCTTTTGTTTGTAACAATTTGGTATCAGCTAAGTTGGAGACGATGATGACAACGAAAGAACTTGAGACACGCATGAACACAATGGAAAAGACGATGGCAGATTCGCAAGAATTGACACAAAATACCTTGGAAGCATTGCAAAAATCGATTGATGGATTAGTTTCCTCAATAACAGCCCTGAATGCTGGCCGGAAAATCTCGAAGGAGAATGAATCACTCAATGAGATGTCGGAAACTCCCTCCTCGGTTCTTGATAGAACCCAACTTCCATTTCCACTTTTGATGGTACGAATTTCCGTGAATGGCGCCCAAAAGCAGAACAATTCTTCGAGCACGAAGGCACACCAGAAAAACAAAGAGGTCATCTACTTCTTCTCTCCATGGATGGCAAGGCATTCTCATGGCAACGCCACTACATTCAAACACCTGATTTTCAGAGAAAAACATGGATTCAGATCTTGCAAGATGTTGGAAACAAGTTCGATGATGGAGCATTTGACGACCTTGTTGCAGAACTTGCAAGATTGAAACAAGAAGGTTCTTTAATTCAATATCTAGAAAATTTCGATAATCTTTTGGCTCGTGTGACGATCTCCGAGGAGATAGCATTAAGCTTCATCCTCTTAGGATTACGTTTGGATTTGGAGAAATCAGTTCGTGTCCATCGGCCATCTACAATCCAAGAAGCTGTGAGGTTGGCACGTTTACAAGATGAGGTGCTTCAAGAAATTACCAAGAAACTCAATGGGAACAAATCGACCAACTCTGAGACACAATTCAGATATTCACGATCCTGGTATAGTGCAAATCAAAACAACAAAATTCAACCTATAACTACACTATAGCAAAATCACACAACATTATCACAAAACTCAGCTTCTATTGCAAATTCAAAATCTACCACTGCGAAAGAGGTCAGTGAGTGTATTTCTAAAGGATTATGTTGTTTTTGTGGTGAGAAATGGGATAAGAACCATAGACTTAAGTGTAAAGTTTGGGGAAAATTAAATGTCATTTTCTTTGCACAAGAGGAGTTTGGTGAATGTGTCAATTCAGATTCTGGAAAAGAACAAGAGAATGAATTGGTGGAACAAAGTCTAGAATTGGTCAAAGATTCAAATGTTCATATATTACAAGGTGTAGCTAGTGGTAACACGTTACAATTGAAAAGAATAATCAAAAAACAAGAGATTCCCTTCTTGATGGATACAGGAAGTACACACAATTTCATCACTGAAAAGTGGACGAAGCTGTTAGGATTAAAAACCATTTTCATTAGGGACTTTCCTGTAATAATAGCATCAGACAAACAACTCATGATTACAAGAAAATGTCCTCAAGTGACCTGGAAATTCAACAATCATTCATTCATGGTTGATTTCCTAGTTTTGCCTAGTAGCCATTTTGGAGTAATATTTGGCATGGAAAGGTTTAAGACACTAGGTGAAATTTCTTGGAATTGTGCCCAATTGACCATGAAGTTTTAGCATCAAGAAGAAGCAGTCACATTACAGGGTGAACAACATCAGAGTGACAATATACAAGTCTCAGAAATCTAAAAACAGCACTGGTTCAAACCATGTTACTTGCTATACAAGTTGTTGTTTGCTTCCAAGCTACAGCCAATTAGAATGCACTAAAATTAAAAGCAACACAACATTCTCAATTGGACACATTACTACAACAATTTTAGACTTTATTCCAAGAACCAACCCAATTGCCTCCAAAAAGAAGGTATGATCATAAGATCGCACTAACAAGCAATATACCTGTTTGTTTAAGACCATACAGGTACCCACATAACCAAAAAGCAGAAATTGAGAGGCAAGTCAAAGCTTTGTTGTCTGCTGGCTTTATCAGAGAAAGTTCAAGCTGTTATGCATCACCTATAGTCTTGGTCAAGAAGAAAGATGGTACCTGGAAATGCTGCACAAACTTTAGAAAACTTAATGCTCTCATTGTCAAAAATAAATTTCCTATGCCCTTAATTGAAGACCCCTTGGATGAATTACATGGTGCCAATTACTTTTCTAAGTCGGATCTAAGGAGTGACTACAATTAAGTGAGGATGGATGAGGAGGATATCTACAAAACAACCTTCAAAACACATAGTGGACTTTATGAATGGGTGATTCTACCCCTTGGCCTCAACAATGCTCCTGCAACTTTCCAGAAGTTAATGAATGATATATTTAGGAAGCATTTACGAAAATTCATTCTAGTATTGTTTATCATATTCTAGTCTACAATAAGATCTGGGAAGATCATCTAAAAATGCTTGCAAACAACTCTACAAATCCTACAAGACAACTCTCTAACACTAAACATGAAGAAATGCAGCTTTGGTAAGTCACAAGTGGATTATTTGGGACATCAAATCTCCACAACAAGTGTGCAACCAAATCCTGACAAAATTGTAGCTGTACAACAATGGCTACAACCCAAAACTCTAAAAGACCTCGGAGGCTTCTTAGGATTATCAGGGTATTATAGAAGGCTTATACAAGGATATGGGAAAATAGCAGCACCTTTAACTAGTCTTCTACAGAAGGATGTAGAATACAAATGGACCGAGGTAGCAAATGAAGCATTCAACAAGTTAAAACAGGCATTACCTTCAGCACCTGTTTTTATCTTAGCGGACTTCACAAAGCCTTTCACAATAGAGTGATGCTTCAGGCATTGGCATAGGAGCAATACTGATGCAATCAAACCACCCAATTGCTTACATAAGCAAAGCTATGGGGCCAAAGTATCAACTTCTATCAACTTATGAAAAGGAGTTTTTTGCTATTCTATTTGCAGTAAAAAAGTGGCAACACTACTTCTTAGATCAACATTTTATTATAAAACAAACCAAAAAGCTCTTAAGCATCTCCTTGAACAACCTCCTACTACACTTATGCAAAATTGGGGACTAGAGAAATTAATGGGATTGGATTTTAGTATTGAGTACAAGAAGGGAAAAGAAAATATGGCAGTAGATGCTTTATCCAAAAATGAAGGTAAAGGTAGTTTAGCAAAACTTTTGATTTTGACATCACAGTTGATAGAAGAGGCAAAAGACTCCTGGAAGGCAGAACATAGATTACAAAAGGTAGTAGACAAAATCAAAAGGTAGTAGACATCTCAAGAGGAAAGGCAAGCTTGTGGTAGGAAATGATTTAGGTTTGAAGACTAAAATCCTACAACAATTTCACAACTCACCCATTGGTGGCCATTCAGGTTATGAGCTAACTTACAAGAGAATCAAAGAACAATTTCATTCGAAAGGCATGCAGAAGAAGGTAAAACAATCGGTACAGGAATGCAACACTTGCCAATAGAATAAGCCCTTACTACAATTACCTGTTGGTCTTCTACAACCTTTATCAATTCCTGATAGAGCATGGAAATCTATATCCATGGATTTCATAGTTGGTCTTCCTAAATCCAACTTGATGACTGTTATTTTTATGGTAATAAATAGATTAACTAAGTATGCTCACTTTCTGCGTTTGGCTCATCCATTTTGAGTGGCAAAAGTGGCACAAGTCTTTATGGACAATGTGGTAAAATTGCATGGATGGCCAATAGAGATCATCTCAGATAGGGACTCAATATTTATGAGTGAATTCTGGTCAGAACTTATGCAAAAACATGGGTTAAAGCTATTGAGGTCTACTGGATTTCATCCTGAAACTGATGGTCAAACTGAGGCTTGAACAAGTCTATAGAAGCATATCTGAGATGTGTTTATGGGGAAATGCCGAAGAAATGGACTAATTACTTGTCTTTGGCAGAATTGTGGTATAATACCAAGTTTCATATAGCCACTAGGTTAAGCCCATTTGAAGCTTTATATGGGTACCCACCTTCACACCTAACCATGATCATGATTGTAGATTCAATGGTGGAAGCAGTGAACTACATAGTAAGAACCAGGGAAGAAGTATCTCAACTGCTGCAGGCAAATTTAATCAAAGCTCAAACAAGAATGAAGTGGTATGCTGATCAAAAGG